ATTATTTTTTAAATTTTAGTGTAAGGCATATTAGTTTAGTGGTCAGAATGGATGGCTGTTAACCATCAGACGGGAGTTCGATTCTCTCATACGCCGTTTTTTAATAAAATAATTTTTTATTTGTTTTTATAAAGAAAAGTAAAATGTTTTAATTAGTTATTTAAATACCATAAAAAATAACCGTTTTTATTTTTTCTTTTTATTTTACAAAATATCCCAACCCTTATGATTAAGACATTATTTCAAATATTTTTTAATTTAATTATTACATCTTCAACTTCGCAAGTTCATGTAATTGAAATGATTGAAATGTTTGAAAATGGTGATAATAATAGTAATAAGGAAAATAATAAAAGGTTACCTTTTAACAATAAGAAGAAAAAGGCCGTTAAAGATTTTTCTAATAATGAAATTGAAACAGTTGAAGATTTTTCTAATACTGAAGCTAAAACGGTTGAAGATTTATCTAATAATGTAACTGAAACATTAAATAATAAAGATTTAGATGATTATTCAAATTCAGATGAATGTAATCGTCGATGTTGTTATGAATTAATTTTAAAATTTTTAGTTTCTACAATTATACTTGCAGTTATTGGTGGTTTTATATGTTTTTTAAAGTTCTTTGTACAAAAAATATTTAAAAATTGATTAAATAATAATAAATAACTGATTATTTTTTAATATTTTTAAATTGATTTTAAAACTGTTTTAGAAATAAAAACTTGTATTTCATTAATTCTTTTTAAAATTATATTTAGACATTTGATGTTTAATTTTAAAAAATAAAACATCTTTTATATGTTTGAATCTCAGTTTTATTTTTTAAAATTAATTATAAAAACATTTATTTCATTAAATTCTTTATAAAATTTTATTACATTATTTGAAGTTTTAATTAAAAAAATTTAAAGCATCTTTTAAATTTTCGAATCTCAATTTTGTTATTAATAAAAAGCAATTAAGAAGAGTTTATTATAAAAATTAAGAATAAATCATGTATTTCATTAAATCTTTTAGAAAATTATAGTTGGACATTTAATGTTTAATTTAAAACAATTGAACATTCTTTTAAATGTTCGAATTTCAATTTTGTTATTAATAAAAAGCAATTAAGAAGAATTTTTTGTATAAATTAATGATTAAAACCAATATTTTATTAAATGTTTAAAAAATTATATTCGCACATTG